ATCAAAAACGTAAAATATTTGATATGCTAAATCACTAAATCAAAAAGAACGTTCACATATATTTAAAAAAAATTACTTTGTCTCATTCAATTAAATCATTTTTAATAAATATATTTTCAAGATTTTGTATTTTACATAATAACTTTGTATTTGTTTGTATGTGTTAGTGCTGGCAAGAACCAGAAATTCTCATAATCAGTTAACCAGTTTTGGTAAAATTGGACTTTAAATATCGATTACCAAACAGATTTAAAAATCAGTTTGATTTCAGTAAAATTAATATTTTATTATTGCATTTTTATTAATACAATGAAACTTGTTTAACTGAAATCAGTCAGGAAAAAAATTCAGACTTTGAGTTAAAAGTTTTGAGGACGTTTGAGTTAAATAATTTGATTTAACATATGCTAGGCAATTGGGGAAAGAAAGTGACTTTGAGTAAATGCAACTTTGTGTTATCATGGTTTGAGTTAACCAGATTCCGCTGAATTAATATTAGTCAAAATTCACAAATATGCCTGTATTGCACATTATTTCTGCCAAATAGAGATGTGTTTCTTTGATGTTGATAAATCCTTATCAACATCAAAGAAAACAGCATTTGGGGAAACTGTACTGTTTTAAAATTAATTCACAATAGTTTTTATACCAGCATTAATTCTAATTTTAAAATTTAAATACAAGCATTGCATGGAACATGGCATTATTTAAAAAAAGTCAACAATGATAGATTGGTGTCACAAACTGTAATGCTATACTACTAGAAAATTTTAGTGTATCAGTTAGTGGAATTATCTTAAATCCAAGCATACTTTACTGCCAACTAAAAGTCAAAAAAGGCAAGTAAACACACATCTGATATTGATTTCACTGCCTGTTCAAAATTGATTTTGAGTTTTTGGTTTTAAAACCTTGATTCCTGAATACCAATTAATTAGATTTACCAAAAACTGATTTTATTGCCAGCACTAATGTGTGTGAGTAAAGAAATATTGATATTTATATGAACGAGGTATATAATTATCACATTAAATTTAATTCTGAAGAAAATCAGTATCAAATTATTTTCAAATAAATTATTTTATTATTAATAACTTTTCTATTTACATTTATTTAAAACTTTAATAATTAGTGATTAATAATAATACATAAATATATATTTGTAAAATCTTAATAACAACAAAAAAGAAAATAAATATTTTCAATAAAAAGTATCAATTTGATGTTAAAACAGAAACTAGATAAGTAAATATTTTTGTAAATGTAATTACTTCATAAATAGTAATATACTCTAATTTCTATAACTATTACAAAAATTACTAACAGAAATTATAGCAATGGACAATACAGAACTAGTATGATAATTCATTTCAGTCTAATAAATAAATTAATAGCTTTAATGTAAATTAATTGTAACAATAAATGTAATGACAATGTTTAATACTTAATAAAAGATAAAAATTAAACTATAAATTATGTTGCAAGAAAAACATTTAAATGCATTTATTAATAAAAAAACTAATAAAATAATATTGTTTATTGTATTAATGGTAAGCCCTGTTACAGGGAAGAAAATGATTTTCTTTTTATATCTAGATACAATTTTTTTTTTAATTTAACAGGATTTTTCATAATTTCCTAGGTTATTACAGTATGTATTAATTAATTCCATATTCTAAGATGTTCCTGTCAGTTGTCTTTACAGTTCCAGTAATACTCAACTTCAATTCATCAATATCCATTGATAGAGGTGGCACAAACACTTTTTCTTTAAATAACTCAAGAAGTCAGATGAAGTGAAATCAGGAAAATGAGGTGGCCACTTCATTCATTCATCATCTACAACTCTAGCTCTCTCAATTCAACAGTTTGATAGCATGGTCTTCAGGAATTTGTCCAGTGAAAATGAAAAGACCTTCCAACAAGTTGAAAGATGAACATGTTATCATGTTCTGTGGCATTAACCAATTTTGCAGCATATCAAGATAATTTCATTGACAGTGTTCTACAGACTCTTTAATCATACAAGAATGTCACTACAGTAGAGCGTCGTTTATCCGAATCAATTGGGGACTGGGATGGTTTGGATAACGAATCATATACGAAAAAATATATTAATTTATCCCATGTTGAAATTTCTCTCTGTTGCGTGTCGCTTCGCGTTGAATTTTCGTCAACGTTAAGCCTAACGAAGACTATTGTATCGTTAAAAATTATTTTTTTATTTTGTACAAACAAAATAAATTTATTGAAAAATATAAAAACAATAAAAAATTATACTTCAGATGTTAATTTAGTATCAAAAACGTAAAATATTTGAGTAGCCTGAGAAATAGCCGAAGATTGCAGTGCCACAGCACTAGTGAAAATTTTAATTTGCCAACTGGAATGCTTTCGGATAACGGACATTTTGGATAACCAGCTTTCAGATAAACGACGCTCTACTGTACTTTCATTTTTACAAATGCATCCCTGCTTTTCAAAAGTTGTCAAACCATCTTTGAATTGATGCTTGAGAAGATGGGATCCTTGAAAAACTTTCTGAAGGCCTGCTGAACACTGATGTGTGAATTTGTTTTTGCTCACTCAATCACACAAAAGTTTCTCAAAATGATATGCAATTTCTGAAAATAGACAATCCTGGTAGTAAGATAAATAATATTGCCAATTTTGAAATCTTGAGTTTGATTTTTCACTGATACAAGTTATATATGGATATGCTTTCTAGTTTCCTCATATTTTAGTCCTAAAAGTGTATCAAACATCTATGGATATCCTGTATACAAACAGAATACATTAAGTCAAAATCTACTTCCAATTCATTAATGTACTTCTGTATGAATTATTTGTTTTATACATCATTTTTAAGCTTATTTAATGTAGATTAGACCTTATACATTTCTTTTACTGTCTAATTTCATTTTAAATAATTAGAACCAAAATTATGCCCAATTAAACCCAATTTTACTCCTGCTGCAGCAACACTCCTACCTGCCGCTCCAGCCCATCCCCCTACCCAGTATAAAACCACTTTCTTGAGATGATATTCTTTCATTGATTTCCAATTATTTTTTAATTTTATTTAAATGAAATGATGTTAATCCTCATGGCCAAAATTTAATTTATAATTGTCTTTTTGTTAATAATATTCAAATTCAAATTGTTTATTGATTTAAATTATTCTTACAATGGAAGAAAAACAAATTTGGTTATACATTTTGTTAATAATATAAAATGATGCCAGAACAAAAAACAACTCTTACAAGAGAAAAATGAAAAATTTTAAATTCATTCTTCAGAACAAGAAAAGATACCTAACTGTGAAGATATTTATTCAAAAAATATTGTATACCTAGAAATTTTATAAATGTTATATGGGAAAAATAAAGAAGAAAATAAATTTATTTACATAAAATTTATTTTCTTTATTTTTCCCATTTATTTGTAATTTAACAATTAGTATTTCAATAAAAATTTCTGTAATTTTGTTTGTAAGAAATGTAGTTTAATGTGTAATACCCAAACTCAGCTAATTAAAAATAAAGTGAAAAAACAGATATCACATATAATTCTAATGATTAACTTCTGATTAAAGATATTAATTAAAGCTATTCCCTGTATGCTATTTTTACACAAATTAAGTCAAACGAACAATTTAATATTGAAAATATGTAGAAAATGTAAAAAAATAAAAATAATCAAATAGACTAGCATGGCCAACAAGTTAATTGCAGTTGACTTGGTTTCATTGTTTAGTCAATTGTAGATAATACAGCCTATTAAAATAAGAAAAATATTTATAATTTCCATGAGAATAGAAATTCCATGTCATGGTAATATCATGTAATGAACATGATTGGTCAATTTGAACTGGCAACAAATGCTGCCAAAAATAACAAATGCTGTTGAGGAACACAATTGGTTAAATTCAAATTGGTGGCACATGCGTCTCAAGGAAGAGACTGTTGGCAAAACATCACACAAGGTGGCGGACCTGGAATAGAGCTATGACTAGCATAGCTGCTGATTGGTTGGCCGACAGCTGTTGACAACTATATAAGGTTGACAAGGAAGCAGGAAATTCGACTTTGGATCTGTATCGCCAACTATGTTCTACAATAGCCAAAGAAAGTGCCATAGCTAGACAACTGCTCATCTGCCTTCTTGAAGGACAAGTTTGGAAGATAAGAACTATTGAAACTTTTCATTGTGTTATTGGCATATCGAATGGTCGCCAATTGTGAAACCGTATATTTTTTAACTTTACTCCATATTTTCACCATAAAATCTTGTAACTCCACATTATGGATTGTTAAAAAGTGATTATCTGTGATAAGAAGACCATGTGTGAAAAAAGGTTGAGAATGGCTGCTCTAATTTATAACAAAACATAAAAGTGTAATGTATCTTTTATTTGGAAAATTATAGACTATAATACAAATTTATTTAATGTGAAAATAAATAATATTATATTTAATTATTGATGTAATAACTCACTTACCTTATAGTTTAAATAAGGAAAATTTATATTAGGATTTCCAGAATACAAATGTGAATTTGTATCAAGTGGTGAGAAAAGATGACTATACATTGCTAAACTGTTATACCCCATGAGACTGCTATAATATTGACAAATGTCATTATGTGATACCTATAAAAAATTCACACACTTAATATTAATTCTATAAAAGTAAAATTGATATTTATTATTTTTTAAATGCATTTTTAGTCATTGTAGCAATGATTTAAGCATTTTCATGTTATATTATATAAGAAATAGCTAATAAATCTAATTCAATTAAATTTATGTAATATAGGAATCAAAAATTTATTTAATATAGATTTATCTTCCAACTTTCCAAAATCTTCAATTATCCTTATTCAATAAAACATAAAAGTTGTATTTATTTATTTATTACATTAGAAGTAATTATAAATCTACATAATATATTCTCTCTTAATATATAAATACAGTAAGATCCTGCTTAACGCTGATTCGATATAATGCCGTCTTCTTGAAGCCTAAAAAAAAAAGCTCAAAATTTATGCTGATTTAAATTATCGCATCATTTATTGATTCATACATAATACAATTATTTATGAACACAAACCAATCAGAAAAAGGTGGCAAAAAGGTGTACTTTCTTTAAATCTATGTTTGTTTGATGCAATTTTGGAAAAAACATAACATTATGAATACCATAGGCAATATTGACTTCACTTGGCAAGAATTAACTGATGAATGCATGAACAAAGTGTGGAAGAAGTTATGGCTGAAGGTATCCAAGAATTCTCAACAAGAAGAGCCTATCGCTGTATCGATAGGTTGATCAAACTCAACCTAATCGATACAGCAGGACTAGGAGATGTAGATGAACAGGATATTGAGGCGTTACCGCAGGTTTCTGGTCTTATCGTCTTATCGACGACAACCTTCAAGAACGCAGAACAAAGAATCCATGTAGAACTGGAAGATAGTGATTCTGAAAACGAAAAACCCAAAAAATTTCTCTACAGATTTCCTTAGTAAAAGTTTGGTAACGATAACTGAAATTGTTGATCAAACTGTAGCAAATGACCTAGATTTTGAAATGAGTGCAAAAGCAAAA